TGTGCCATATTTGTTTGCTTTAGCCTGATGCTCCTGGTATCTGAGAGCTGCGGGGCCTGTGAGGCACGCTAGAATAGACCGTGCCTGGGCCAGGGAGAGGTCGGCACTCCGCATCCTCTTGAGCAGCCTGTTGCTGCCAGGCTCACCGAGCACTCTCCAGGAACCTCTTTGGTGTTAATGAGGAACGAGGGCCATGGCAGGATGAGGCAGATGGAGAGCTTGCTTCTTTTGATAAAGAGGAATCATGTTGTTAATTGTTGCATGGGGAGTTTCCCCCCTTTGTATCTGCCTTTTGTCATTTTAATGTATCATCCTAAGATTTTTTTTTTATTTGCAGTAGGGTATGTGCATATGTGCCCAAAATCCTTTTAATGAGACCAGAAAACTGAATCTGTTTGAAAATTTGGAAATTATGTTTAAACACACAAAAGCTCGCTATTATGCTGTTTGCTTTACTATTAGGAAACTCCACACCCCATTTTCCTTCCTGCCAGGAAGAATTAAGGGGTGTGTGTGCGCACGCCTGTGTGTGTCATTTGTTATAAATGTTGTAAAAGCAAAGACCTTTGTTTCGTGCAACTCTCAGGGTCTGACACATGCCTGTATGTGATGTTTGACCATGGTGAGAGGGAGTCCAGGCCAGAGTAAAGCAGTGGTCAGTCTGCGCAGAGAAGTCTGTGTACTGCAGTGTACTCTCCTGTCCTTTGGAAAATCGTATCTGAGAAACATTCAATTTAAGTAGGGAGTAGGGATTAGCAGGGAGGACTCTTTTGAAAATTCAAAACTCACTTTCACAAATGGATTTAAGAAATCAGATATGACACTGGATTGTCTATAAATATTATTTCCTCCTGCTTATAGAGAAGAATTCACCCTAAGTGAACGAGAGGGCGCGTGGTTTTCAGTACCGTTATTATGTTGATGAGTCGGTAAAGAGAAATACCTTTGACTGGAAAATGGACTCCCCAGCCCCCTTCTGATTGCAAGGCTGGCACTTGGTCTGCGTGGCTCTTCGGGACTGTCCCTGGGTAAATAGGCACGGCAGCCTTTTCTCCAGGATCGGGAGACACTTCCTGCTCCACGTAGGTCCACCGCAGTGTCCCTCGGAACAGGTCCTCGTCTGGGATGTGTGTTTTGGGTTTTTGCCCTGAAAATACACACCTGAGTCACCTGTGCCGCTTTCCTCCAGCTTCTCTTTTTCTGTTTTTGCTTGAAGCACACAGTTCTGTCTGTGCAGTGCTTAATTTCCTCTCCTCCTGGGGAATTGCTGCTGTGCCAGGAGGCCAGGAGACAAAGGCAATAAGACTCTGAGAGTCACAAGCATGTCAGCGTGGTGCCCCACACAAACCTAGACTTACTTGGTTTTCCCTGAGGTATGCTTTTTAGGTATAGTTGGTCCTGTCCGTTTTGTTTTATTTGTTAATGGAAAGATCATTTGGAGATTGTTTGCTGTTTATTCAGTTACGCTAACTCATGTTGCCAGTTTTTTGGCGGCTCCAGCCAAGATCTCTCGCCTCTGACAGCTTCTGCACTCTCTCCTTCCTCCTCTGATTACGCAGCCCAATCTGTCACCCGGACAACGGGGGCCTGTACCCTGCTGATGGCTTTCCACACACGGCAATAATGACTTTTGGCAGGCCGGGAAGGCGTCAGAGGCGAGTTTGCTGCGTCCCTTCTCAGAGAGACG